TATTGTACCACAACTACTATATTTTTGAGATAAATTTTAAAACAAAATTCTCTCCATATGTATATATATATATATATATGTGAGATTTGTATTATTATTGATTGCAGGATCAACAAAATGATACCAGTTGGAGTTGGAAACAATAATCATATTTTAAATAAAAATGTATTAAAATTACACACACATTCTTTTCGTTTAATTGTCAAGTTGAACATCTTAATCCATCAATCTCTCAATCCGTAGTTTCTTTTAATTTCTTTGCGCCGTCGTTACTATCGTCAGCAATTTTTCTCTTTTGGGTATTTTTTTCTGATAATGTTTTTTTTAATCCTTTCATCTTCCTTGTCTGAATACCATTAATATTTTGTGCGCCAATATGTATACGGCCATATGTTGTTCCAAATGTATCTTTAGAGATATTCTTTTTCGTCTTTGTCTATAAAATTACAATTATTGGATTAAAATATACACCTTTATTGATAATTTATAAAAATTTAGAATTATTTAGAAAACAATACCTTGAGTGCGTTAGGTTTCCGACAAGCTCGATTGAATAAATCTTCAGAAGCAAATTTGTTACGCCTGCACACCAAATCAGCACGTGGTCCTATTTCCACGAGTTCTATCCTAGGTGTTCTTGTGTTAGATTTTTTTAAAAGTATTCTAAAAATATTAGATTGATCAATATATGATCATTTTAAATTAAGATTGCAAACTTATTCTTTTACATATTTACGTTGTTGAAATATTTATTTTACATGACATGTTTTTATAGTTTATACTATTGATATATATATTCAAATGATCAAAAAGTTGAAAAAAATAAAAATAAATTTTTACTTTTACTCTCATCTCACCTATAACTACGCAGAAGTATTTTATTCTCGACAGCTGTGAAACTTAAAACATGTTCAAGACCTTGCAATCTGATCTTTTGAACCTCTTCTCTGAGGAACATGTCAACGAGCAAGTTTTTGATCCTTCCATACTCGTGATTACTTTCAAAAAGTTCACCATTAAAGATCAACAATGGTTTTATTCCCGAGGTGATCTTTTCGACTTTAAAGTCTTTCAATCCTTTATAATTTTCTACTCCAAATTCTATCATGTCTAATAACATATGCTCGTACATTCGACCCATTATAAGATTGTGTGGACGTTTCTTATTATGCGTAGCTATCATGAAAAGAGATGCATCATACTTAAAAGCAAATTTTTCAACAGGTGTAATATCCTCAAATGGCAATATGTCATTTTTCTGTTTCATCATTTGCACATTAGGTTTCTTCAAATCATACTGGAAAATGTATTTCATTTATAATTAAAAATTTCTGTTATAAAAGTTGAGGCACCTCCAATAAAATTATATTTACTTACCAAATCCTTCATAATATCTGTAACGATTTGCGACGTGCGATTACCCTTGAGACATAAAGCTTCTTTAGCATTTTCTATCAACTTAGGCTCCTTCTTCAATATAGCTTTCTTACCCTTGTGTGTAATTGGCTTTCTGTAAAAGCATATTGCATAAAATTATAATGCATAAAATTATAATGCATAAAATTATAATATCTACATAAACAATTCCATGTATATTAAAGAACAATGTTTAATATTACTTTGTGCGCTGTAAATACACCGAGATACATGACAAACTTACGTAATTCTGTTTACAGCAGGCATAATGAAATAATAAATTAATGTACTAAAAATTACAATTTTATATTTTTCTCAATAAACGTGAATAACCTAACCACGCAACATGTGGCTCAATCCCTCGATTGCACACAATTGTTGTATCGTTGGTTGCGTTCAGCAGACTCAACAGTTTTGCAACCGTTTTATGATTGTCTGCTGAGATAGGACCATTCTTCTAGATCTAAAAGTATGATCCAATTAGCGCGAAGGAAACTTCCACAGTTGCAAAACAACCGTTCTGCTGAACGCACCCATAGTGTGTTGTGCAGGTGTGCTCATTTTCGAGACGAATTTCTTATGCGGGGTCTACAATAGAAGTCGTAACGGTCGTAGGCAGATTATTCTTCTCATATTCGACTGTGATTGGTCAATTTTCTACGACTTAAAACCCTACGACTGCTACGACTTCTATTGGCTGCGTTCCACTTAACGCTCACAACGCTCGTGGAATCATTTCATCCTTGTCGTTTATCAAATGTTAAACAAGGACAAACGATGCTCGCGAGCGTTAAGTGGAACGCAACCATTGTAGACCCCGCATTACGGTTCTGCGCAGACATGGCGCGAACATCACTCCGCCATTTAAACATTTGCATCGCGGTAATTTTGAATAAAGTGACAGGTCGAGAAATCAAAATAAGTACCTTTATAAATTAGTTTTAATTTTATATGTCAAAAAGTATTGTTTTTACTTCGTAGAACATTGGCTGCGTTTGAGCGACCAATCAGAACAAAGAATTTTACGAATTGACTAATCAAAGAATGCTTCGAAGCGTTTGTAGCGTCAAGTGGACCGCAGCCATTGATAGTATAATCGATAAATTTCAAAAATTCGCTTCTGACATAATTAAAAATAATTTATGAAGCTTTCGCTAGTCCCCCACCTATGGGGATAGGCTGGTAACATACACCATAACATGAGCCCACATTTGTGTCGCAGTTAAGAATAGACTCCTTAATTAAGTTAATTTTAATTTACACTGGTAGATTTGCAATAAAATTTCAAACTTATATAAATTCATTGTAAACGAATTTCTTTTTTCTTTTCACGTGTTAAACGATATAAAGAGTATAATTAAACAATAAAATAATAATGATAATGCAAGCAATAATTAAGTTAATCGCGCGCGGAATTTAAGTCAGTCGTCCAATTATAAAAATCATAGAAAAAAAAAACAATAAAATCATACATGTTGTATACATGTTAATGTTATCGAATAGAAAATTATAACATTGATGTAATATTTAAGTTCAGTTGATATTTTATACTGGATAGGTAAGAATTCAAATAAAGGATAAGTCAGCTTGTAGCACATACATTGATTTATTATACGTAGATTGTTCATAGCTTATTATTGTTTCTCTATTTTTATAGCAGCAACAGCAAATATACTATAGTTTGGTCAAATTAACAAACGTTTCTCTCCAATCTGCCGTCGATGTGATTATCCACGTCGCTACCGGATATAACATGAATAATTGAGCCGACATCATTGGCAGGTTGTGATATACCGGAGGCCAAATCAATCATCCGGACATGACGGCCTCCGTTCAAATTTGGTTGCCAGTTATTAATTTCTTTCTCTTTTTGATAATCATTTTCATAAGAAGACATCCACAAGAGAGGTCTAATTAGATAATTAACTAAGTTCACACAGCGCGTACTAAAAGCGTACTAAGAAGTCCTATATCGTCCTTCCACGATTACTTCCCACGTATCAAAGATACGCGCTGTCCCCCGCTTTTTTTCTTTTTTTTCTGTTTTGTTAAACGTTTACACGAAACAACGCAATGTGTAATTCAAAAGAGTTCCCACCCCATCCCCTTTTTCCGAAGAAAATTCTTAATGTTAAGAAAGTACCCCGCCACGCGCACTACTTTCTCATACGTCCGTCGCATTAAATGCCATCGCGATTAACTGGCGAATCCGTCTTATAAGTATAGAGAGTCCCTACTTTTATAATATTATATACACTTGTTTTTGGCACCAAAGTTGTGAAATTGTCTTTTGCATTTTCTTTTTCTTTTTTTCCTCCGTAAATCGCACGATGCCAGCGAAGATCCAACGTGAACGTACGCCCATGCGTCCGAAAGCAGATAATAGGTATCTTGTTCGTTCGTCTCATCGGCGAATCGCTTGGTGATCAATTATAGCACTCGATTAATTTGTGTGTCGATGCACTAAGGATCGAAACCTTGGAAGCTCGAGAAACAATACTGCCTCCGATTCGCGTGGTCCTGTCCCCCGACGTCGCCCGTTACGTCGCGGGCCAACGATCTTTAAGTACGTCAGCATGTTTAGCGTGTTACAAGCTCTATCTCTCCTTTTCTTCTCTCTCTTTTGGCATAGTTCATACATATACATCTCTTTGCCCTCTATCCATCGCCCTTCGTGTTAGTCCAGGTCTATAATGAATTGATAGTCGATAGTCTTAAGTCTCATCGGTGAAGTTGACCATAGTCAACTTGTACGATTAGAGAGAGAACGATTAGAGAGAGAGAATAAATACTACCGATTTTCTTAAGAGCAGACAAATTTTTTTTTCTTCCCATTAGTCGAGCCAAACGATTCGCAATTAATGATTCATTGTGAATGCGAAAAATTATAGTCTACTTAAATTAAAACAATTCCGACTACCGACTACTAACTCATTGTAGATCCGGTGTTAAGATACTTGTGTCCACAATGGCGAAATCATTCTGAGATCTCGGATAGAAAAAGAATTAACAAATCACATTTAAACAATTCGGTCACACCATGTGATGGTCTAGTTTGACTATATACGACTGGCCAATTCTTTCTCCGTCCGAGATCTCAGATCGATTTCCAATATCGGAGACACAAGACTTTACAATGAAATGTGTCTCGAACTTTCGTTACAAGAGCTTATCAGAACCAATAATGAGTACATTGCCAATCCAACTCTCTGACATTGTATATGTATTTGTGTATGTATATGTGTATCGCGATTTTTAATCGCTACCTTCTTATTTCTTCTCGCTGCGGAGACGGATCGACAAAGCGCTTAGCCCGCAATGCGGTCTTATCGTTAGGAAAGTTACATAATTCTTTTTTTTTTGCATTCTTCTTAACCTAACTAGAAATGATTGGTCAATCAATGTCGATCAACTAATTATTTCTGGCTGGGAACCGTATTCTAGAAAAAACTGACTGCCACTGGTTCTCAGCGAATTCCAGACTGCCCAGCAGTCAGACATACATAACAATTATCACAACTTAATATCGTAATACTAATACAATATTATGTAAATATATTAATATTTAATCATAAATATCCTTTCTCTTTCTCTCTCTTTCTCTCTCTCTCTTTCTATTTATATATATATATATTATTAACAAGACATCGGTAGAATTCCATACGAAACGTAATATATATTACGAATTACGATCCCTTTCCTTCTTCCTCAACTGCTCAGCTTGGAACGTAAATGAAAATCATTGTTGTCATAAGTACGCGTAAACGCATTGATTTTTTTTCGATTCTGATTAAGTGTGTGTACGTGTATGTGTGGTAAGGTGTTATTTATGTTAAAATCTATTATAATTTTACTAAAAAAATATTGATCGGTAAACACTACATACGGTGCTAGAATTATTAACATTTAAAAATGAGATCTAGTTTCATTTTCTATTAATGTAAGAACAAACATTAAGAATCACTGAGTTAATAATGGATTTTTTTAATGCTGTATGTGTGTCCGTGTCTGAAAACCTTATCTATCCGTCCCCTGTTGCTTCCACGAGTGTCTTTCTTCTCACGTTGTAAGTACTTATGTTCGTACAGTGCCATCAGATGATATCAAGGCCGATTTTATTTTATTACGTGCACTAGTCAATCAAGTCCTTTACATGGCTACGTGCCCTGCATTCCGCACCGCACCGTGTTCGAACACTTTCACATAACGTTTGTTCACTCAGAAGATATCTTCATCCGGATCACTTGACGGTGCGGCCTGTAGCGCCAACTGCATACTAGATTCCGTGTTGCGCCGTTTCATTTTGCCTTTTGTCTTCTTCAGCATCGTAGCCTAGGTAGGGACAGGATCAGGGAGCGCACAAAGGAGCAATCGATAAAAATGTCAGTCAATACCGCTGACAAAATAGAAGTATATAAGTAGAAGTAGAAATAGAAAAATTGGAAAGTACAAACTTATAGTCAACTTATACGTAGAAAAAAAGGGAGAGAAGAAACGTTTTGTAAAGCTAACACTACTATTCGATATAATGCGTCTAATTCACACATTACAAGCTCGAGCTAGCTGCATTGGATCGAGGCATCGAGAAGGTATCACGGAAGTTGATCGGTTTTACATGCATCAACGGAGGGATTGGGGGACTTTTCGTTCTTTCTTTCTTTTTTTTTGTTTTTTTATAAGTGGAATCGTTTTAGATAGCACGTTTGTCACACCGAGATTCCTCTGTCGCGCGTGCATTCTGCTTGCGCACGTCGAGGAATCTAGGCTGTGATGTCGCGCATCTTACGAGATATGATTAAACGATCGAGCGGTTGTAAGTTGTGGTATAGTTGGATTACTCGTCCGTGCTCTTGCCCCCCTCCCCATTAGCAGGTAGAATCGACGGTTCGGTATTGCGACGCTTGATCTTACTTTTCTTCAACATGGTAGCCTGAAGTGAACAAAGGAACAAGGAGATATTAGTAGAGTGCAATTAGGGGAGGAAAGCATGCGCTGATAGGTATCAGCAATCAGGTTATGCTTTTACGGTGAATACGTAGAGTATTGTAATATGAAACAAAAGGTGCTACAAACTAGTACATAAGGATGCGCCTGTTAAAAAGTTTTACGTGCTACAAGAATATATACGCCCCATTATTCTACTTAAACTCGAACAGTAAAGGATGTTCTCGTTTATTACGTTCCAAGGACACACACACGCACACGTGTGCGTGCGTGCGTGTGTGTATGTGTGTGTAATGTATGTATCACCGTACTAATATTGATGAATTACATTATCGAGTCAGTAAATGATTTTACATTACAATTCTGTCCGTTATTTTTGTGGAATTATGGGGAAGTTTTGAAAGAATTCTTACGTCAAAATATTACCTTGAGCGCTGATTTCAAGACCACGATGTCTCCAGGACTCTGAACCCACGGTTCACCATCTACTTGTACAGGTATGTCTGAGTTTAAGTGAATTTTTATGTGTCCGCCCTGTTCATCAAAATATAATGATGATGAATAAATTGATATATGTTGTATTAGGAAAGAAGAATATTGTGTGTGTCTGTACTATTAATTTTAATTTACCTGCGCTATCCTCATAGCTGTACGTAAACCCGACTGTATTTGTCCAAGATGCATAACACCTGTGACTCCAACAACTTCCAGCATGCCATCCCAATGATTTGGTGTATAAAATTGATCTTCTTTGGTATCTGGTCCCCAAGGATTAGCACCAGAACCCCAACTAGACGAGAAATAAAAGTATCATTTAAAACCATTCTTCTTTTTTTATAACGATAAATTCCATAATAATAATTACCTCAAAATGTTCAAAATTATTATTCCTTCCACTTGTGGTAACTCAACTAATTTACCGTCTACTTCTAATCGAATTTCTTTATGTAAATCTTTGCATGGTTTTCGTCTGACCATTTTACGCAAACCCATCCTTACGTACACGCCTTTATTTCGTAATCTGCTTTTGAATTTATTAGGATTCTCCTCTCTCGCGTTATGAAAGTCCAGACATAAATCTGCGTCGACGCCAATGCCAAAGTAATTATTCATTACGTATATTTGCGTATTGTCTTCGCTAGTTGCACCAGCACCGGTAATATGCAAATGGCGTGTCGCTACTTGCTGAGAAGCTATAATATTTCCGTCCATTAAAATTTTTCTCTTTAAATTACAAAACTAGTTTACGATATTGTTAAGAAACTTATTTCTTACTTGCAGCATTACAAACTACTTGAGGTTGTTCCTTTTCTTCTGGATGAAAAACTACAGTCCATCGGTCCAATATTATTTCTTCCGCGTCGATAACGTCTCGCAATAAGTTTAGTGGATCTTCGTCACCAGTGTAGCCTGAACCCCAACATAGTACACGAGCAAGATCGTTTCCTGTTCCCAAAGGTACAATAGCACAAGCAGGAGAAGAACACTGGCTATCCTGACCCACATTATCTAAACATTGTAATACCCAACCTATTGTTCCATCACCACCACAAACTAATATTTTATAGTCTTTTATGTGTCGAAAAACGTAAAGTCTGCAACACAAAGAAAGCACTTATTTATAACTTGCGTAAAATTATATATTGTAGGTACTTCAGAATATACCTAAATATGATTTGCAGTATTATTTATGGCACTATAGATCTACTTACCCAGGGAGAGGTCCGCCATTATCAAGATCGAACACTTGATAAGGATTTAATAGTTTACGAAAACTAGAAATTAGCTGGAGTCCTTGACACCCACCAGATTTTACATTTACAAACACGAGCAGCGGTTGAACGCCCGTTGGTACCATACTTGGCTCGATACTTGGTAAAATCATTACTAGCAAAACAAGAAAAGGTAAGAAAATATTCCAATATACATTCCAATATAAATCAAAACTAAAAAACTAAATCAATAGAAAAAAACTGAAACATACATGTAATTGTATCATACTCTGAATCTCTATATTTTCCTATATTCAGTACTTTCTCGCTATTCAAACACACATATAAAAAATATTTATCGTAAAAATACCTAAAAGAAGTTTGTCTTCACATTTTGTTTCTCGCAGTGTATATAATGCTCTAACCGCTGTATCCAAATCTTCATATATGATAACCATCGAACCATATTCATAATAAATTGGGCCGATTGATGAGAACCTATTTTCTAAAAATTCCAAAAAATTATGTATGTAAATATACATATTTAGATAATAGATAATAGATATAATTAGATATATATTTTTTCTGTTGGATCACCAACCTTTTCCTAAAAATTCTGTCAACATGTTTTCATAACTTCTTTCAGACAGATTTTGCGGTAAGTTGCCCACGAATAAAGCCAAATTAGGTCCATGGGGATCTTGCTTTAGTTGTAGATAGAATCGCATTAATTCCATTTGTCTAATAGAATCTTTTCCCAGCTTTTTAACAATATCCCAGGGTCTTTCATCCCAGGACAAAACTCTTTCCGTTACTAATAAAAATAAAACTTTTATATTTTTCATGCAACGCAAAAAACAAAATCTAAAGAATATTGGACTGAATTACAAGCTATCAAGTTGGACAAAAATTCGAAACGTACCACCATGGTCTAAAAGAATTTCACTGCACCTAAAGTCATCACAATTAAAATTTTGTAAACCAAACTTTTCCAGCGCCTCGTTTATTAAGTCTACGACGGTTGTAGCTTCCGTGACAGGTACTATACAGAATGACTCTGATACCTGCAATTTGCCAGGATAAACCCGTACCTCTCCGCTGTCATTATCTCTGAAATTATTGTAATTAGTTACACATTTTGTATTAAATTCTTTACTATTAATATATACAGATATTATACAGCTTCTATAGTATCCGTCTTCTTTTCTGCTTTTTTTTTAATATTGAAAATAATATAGAAATGAAACATTCTAAATATTTTTCTCATTCTAGATAAATAGTATAAACTTACTTAAATCGCAAGAACACAGCCGGACGTTTGCCTTCTTTGCGATTTAAATTTAGAACAGGCGTTGGATCACATAACTCAGTTTCTTCCACGGCATACAGGTCAGTTAAGTAAAAGTTGCCTGAATTTTCCCGAAAAAAGTTCATTAGCTTAATTAATAAATGAATCGAACAAGACTCATATTTAATATAGAATAATCTACTATATATATATATATATATATATATGCACGTACTAGGATCTTTCGTGATGTGAAATGCGCGCAGTGCCGATGTGAGAACCTGCTCTGTTGTAGCCTGCCTGGGTACTGAAATCACCCGAAATATTCTTCGCCTCAAGGAATTGTTGCCATCGCACACCTTAATCATTTCTGTGTAAGAATATCAGATTCACAAATTAGGAAAGCGAAAATCTCGAAACTATTAATTGGAAGTTGTATTGAAATACCTTCGTCACCTCTGTCTTTATCTTCTTTCTCTTTAGGAGAACGCGGATCACGGCCATGCGCTGTTCCCTGTGCTGGTTCTCCATTGTCACGATTCCTCGAGTCGCTACCAAATTCCTCTGATATACTTCGCGCTGTTAACACAAAGAAAGATCACACTTCGAATGTTAAAATATTATTAATATAGAATACGAGAATACCTAAATATGTAATAAAATATTATTAACATGAACTATAATAATACCTAAATGAAACGTAAGATCTATATATGTATAACACATCTTTTTTCCACTGAATACATCCAAATTGAGAAAATGTTTCATTTTTTACTCAGATAACATTAATGGTGTCTCTCTTAACGTTATAACATACTTTATATTATAAATAACAAAATTTAATGCAATTTTAAAAATATTATCCTGCAAGAGCAACACTTTCATCATTAAATTATCACACAATTTCTTTATAATTTATTAATATTTCAATTAATTATGGAAATTATCAGTCATACGTAAATCATCAGTTTGTATATCAATATATTATATATATATTCGAGAAAGATTTGCATAAAACAGATACTTTAAGGGAAGTAGTGAACAAATTTAGGAAAAAATTGATAAACACAAAGAGCGTGACGACTCTGTTTATCATTCAAGAATAAATTACATCTCTTACCATCGATTATTTACGATGGATTTGTAGAACACAGACACGATAGGAAGAATTAGTCAGTAGTATTCTTGAACTTCATTTCACTGCATAGTAGAGTGATAAGCGTCATGGAATCTCATAGCATCCAGTGGGCTGAATGACAGTGCATGCACTGAAGCGAGACATACATACATGCTAAAACGTAAACAGTAACAAAATAACATCTATAAAAAAAGGTTGGTGCACTATGATATTTATGTAAAATGCATGTCGTGTGACATTTTATTATAGATATGCAATTTAAACGAATCTATTCTGACAAATATACATCATTGTTTCCTTACTTCCTGAATTAATCTCACGTAAATAGTTATTTTACTGTCAATTATTCATATTTGTTCGAGTCAAAAAAATTTATAAGAGAGATAAAGAAGTTTTTTTAAATAAGAAATCACCTAGAAAATTAGGCTTAATAATTTAATGAAATATACTTTCTCCTCATATAATTTAAGTATACACATAGTAAATATCATTAAAGATTTATATACATTTGGCTTATTGCGCTTATATATATGTAAAATATGTGTGTACATATACATGTTAATGTGGCAGTAAAATGTTATTTGATAAGTATGATAAAAGCAAGCTAAATTTTTCATTGCTGTTATGCAAAATAAAAAAAATGTATAAATAAATATGAGTATGTTTTTTAATATAGCACTTTATCAATCCTAAACGCAAATGTTGAAAGAATGTAGAGATAATAACAATAACGATCACTACAGCGTATTTCAAGTTACTCTCAGTCTTGTGTACAATAAGTACATCTTGGAATTGAGTACATTCACACAGATGAATGTCTGACGATGATAATATTCTAGATACCTCGAACATAAGGAGGGGAAGCATGACAATTTCCATGGCAGCTACGTGGCAAAACTAGCGAAAGGCGCCTCAAAGCTTCGGTTAGGCGGCCTGCAGCCCCATTTTGTTCACTCTCAGCGAAATCGAATTGCTCTCCGATGTTATCTTCACATAGAAGCAAAGATAGACCGAATATTTTAACGGTTACCATAATTTCAAATCTATTGATTTTACCTCTGTTTAGTAATTATCTGTATTTCGTAATTATGACTTATGTTTATTCTTTCTTTCTCTCTTTTTTCTTTGCTTAATTATATATAAAACCGTGTTCTTTTGAACAATGACAATACCCAAGGTTTGTAATTATTAAAATAAAATATTATTTTTATATATAACTCTTTAGTTTGCAAGTTTATATCATATAATTTTGTAAACTCCGATTCTAATTATTACCTAATTATGAAGCTCTATAAAATAGATGCTGTATCTATTAAAATATATTATGCCTATTAAAAGCACATTGAGAGTAGCAATTAATAAGAGCAACCAGCCACAAAAGCCATAGTTTACAAATATATTGTGAACGAAATATGTAATTAAAAAATATAACAGACGTAGCTTTAACATTGCTTAAGATTTGATCATAAATTATAAAAATGTTTCATTTATAGAGTTCAATTTTCACATAATGTGTACGTCATGATCCTAAATCCCCGCGCAATAATAAAAAAATTTAGAAATCTTCACTTACTATCGCAACTGACAATATGAGTCACATGACGAATTCTCACATACTACATTTAATGATATAAATGATTGAATCATGAGTATTATGATGATTAGATAGCAGTCACACTTTCTATAATTCAAAAGTTTTCTAATTCCTGCATTTAGCACACATTTTGTTATATAAAGATTGCTATAAACATAGAAGTATCTTGAAATATTGTTCGCAATATTATTAACTTAATTTACTATTCCTTTTTATTCCATTAAAAAGTCAGTATTTAAAATTTCTCTAAAAAATGGTATTTGCAGAAATGTAGGTATGGGAAGCTGAGAGTGTAAGAAATTGCAAGTAGCAAATATAAATACATACATATTTATATAAAATATTAAAAATGATTACAAAAATTTGACTGCTGATAATATTCGATAAACATAGTTTTTCAGTTCATGATATAAACAATGAAAGTTTGAGACGATAATAATCCTTCAAAATAGGTAGGGTCTTTCTCGTTTCATATCGAAGAAAGTCAACGTTGCATGCTCTGAAAAGAAGGAATATGTATTTGTTTACAAACCGACGGTTTTATACACGCGTGAGTGAGTACTAAAATAATATCATGCAAAAAATTTATATTCTATAAAAATTAGTTATATCTTTTACAAATACCTCTCTACTAATGTATAAGGAAAATATTTCGTATATTATACATTCTTTTTTCAAACTTTACATAGTACAGTGTGTACAATATTTTCTACCAATCATCAGTGCATATTTGCATACGTATACATGTGCTATACAATAGTAAAAATAGAAAATCTCATACATATATGAGAAACACAGTGTGAAAATAATCAACTGTGTCAATAGGTAATACGGAAATGCTGAATGATAGATTGAAAAAACTTTATAAAGCGCTAATCCACTGCAATGAAATTCACAGTGCACACATGAAAAACGCGAATAATTTTTTATACCATGTCCAATTATATAAACGGAGTAGCAAGCAAGAGCAAAACTTTCAACGTGATATTTTTGCCATTATTTGTTATCTGAGCTTAATATATCGATATCACTTGTTTAGAGACATGTAAATCTCGTAATCCAAAAGTGATGATATTTATACGCGATTGTATACACACACAAAACTGTAGTTATATGTATACATATATATGTATACTATAGATAACTACATGCATTAATAATTATCAATTATTTGTTTTATTGCGGGTATTTGTTTTATTGATTACAGCTGAATCTATAGCGTTGACATCTCTAAATAGTTACATTACTCAATTTCATTACATAATTTTATTATTTTAATGATCTGTTTTAATCTTAAATTCCTCTTTAAACTCCTCTTCCTTCGTTATAAGAAACTTTTGTTTTAATGTCCAATTATATTTCCAGTGGGATTGATTAACGAAATATGAAAGTGCTTTGTGGCACGTGACAAAGCGCAATTCCTCATTCTATTATTCTAATTACCTATTAACACGCACATAGTAATTACACGGCAGACACTTACGGCAAGAATACTCACGCGCCAGCACTTCTTTACGACGCACTTCTACTCCAATGATAGCTTCCATGGGAACTTCGGTACGCGGAATACTAACTGCATGTGGCGGCAGGTAAATTGGTTCCAAGTTACCAAAGGTGCATTCTTGGGGAATATTCTTGTAACAATACGCGTGCGACTGAGAGACGAAATCAAATTTGTCATTAAATATCATTTTAACGAAGGGAAAGGGGGAACTTTAATCATGCTAACGATATATGCTTTCTTTCTCTATTCATAAGAGCCATTACGTATTACATTTGACTTGAAATAAATAAGTATAATAGCAATGCAATATAATATTTAATTCTAATTCTAATTCCGCTGACGGAACGAAATAAATGAGTCGCAAAAAACCAAGATAAAAGGCAATCTAATAATGAATCTTTCTTTTACCGTCATGCCGCACCACTCGCAACGAACCCCGGCAAGGCACTCGGCAGTAAAACAACTCTTCTTGCATACGGCACATTTCGAACTGCTCGGAAGATTGCCGTCCCGCCAATGATGAGTGTGTTTCACTGCTGACAGATCTTTCCCAGGTAGGTATGTGGCATTCTCCTTGCAGTCTGCCACCGCGAAGTCTTGGCATTCTACGTGCACGAAGTACTCGCATACTGGGGGAAACATACAGCGTAATTAACATTTCACAGAAATCCAAATACGCTAATGTGTATTAAAGTCTCGAATCTCTCATTTAGATAAAAGAAACTTCAGCTTACTTTCACAGTGTATACATGGATTATCATCCAATCGTTTTCGACAGACATTGCAGAATTTTCTTTTGCAGTGTACTTGTTCAGACCAACAATGTGCAACCGGGTTCTGGAACACGGCCAATAAAGAAACGCTGTTAATTTTATACACATATATGTTAATCCAATTAAGTTCCAGAAGGCTCCTATGCATTTTTCTGTTTTAAATCCTTAACTTGTTCTAATCAAAATTTTTAAACTGTAATTGACATTTATAGATAAAAATTGCTCTTTCCAAAAATCTAGTTGATGATAGGACGAGATGTCTAAAGAAGAAAAATATAAACGTTGAAAATGGTAGTGAAAGAAGTAAGGAATCCTTGTCTTTTTACCAACAAATATTCGACTGATAAAAGTAATAAATAATTTTATTTATCATGAGTAGAATAAATCGTTATGATTATTATAGATCATTCAAATAATAAATATATTTAGTCTTTTTAAAATGAGTTAAGTTTCCAGAAGGTGTCAAATGTCGCTTTGACACGTGAACGCAACAAACGAGCTTTCTAACATTCCGTCCAGTCTTTTCTCTCGAGTCTCTCAGTTTTTCGTCTAAAATTTACTTATTTTATTGTAACGTTTAGTTATTTTACGATATCCATGAGAAGACTGCTTTCCTATATTCTAAGTATAGGCGTTATATTTATGCATAGGCGGTTAATCCTTGCAACCTGGAGACGTATCCGTTGTCTTACCTTAATCAGGCTTGCCGCGATGCTGGAGCAGGGAGAGACGACGGCCTTGAGACAGCGGTCGTGCACCACGAAGTTGCAAACTGCAATGATAGAAGAGAAAAAAAATAGAGAATTTTAGAAACGCACGCAAATTAATTGCGTTAAATCGAAGCGTTACCGGCTAAGCAGTGTACACTTTAGCATAAATCAATACGAGCCGCTCATGTCGTAATTTATAACAAGATCTTCTGACCTTTTGCGGTGTAAGTAAAAAACATCGAGAATCATACAATGGCTGGCGTTATTTAATGCTTCTACCTTTAAGGGAATCCTCGAGGGGATCCTAAAGTCGTCTGTTTTTTACCGATTATTTTTCAAATAAGTATTTGTCTAACTGCTTTTATATATACATATTTAAAAATTCTTCTTCACAATTAAAATATAAGCGTTAATGTAATCCAAACCGGTCGATTTTATGTCAAAAATGAAAAAAAAAGTTGGAAAATTACTGTTTTGTTATCAGCTTCTAACGTCAACTCGCAACAATACTTGCTTTATATTTTATACAAGTTTTATGCTTTGTACGTATAAAACAATCTTGGTTCGTACTAGGGATTGCATGAACAAACAATATTGTGTTCTTAAAATTAGGCTTAGATACCTAATATGACAGATTAGTTAGAAAATTTGTACGTAAGTGCGCGTGTAATATTGATGTAATAGTGTGTAGTAGATATGTCAATAACATGTAAATCGTACATGTTAAGTCCTATTAAATCGGTAATACAAACTGCTTTAGAATCCCCTTAACCAGACGATAAATATACAACCGGTAGTCCAACAAACTTACACAGAAACTACAAAGGAAAATAAATATACACGCATATATTTATTTTCTTTTTGGTTTGACGAGCATACCATATACATATATATATACTCGTACAGAAAAAAAATCATCAATTTTAATAATCCTTGGGGCGTTCTTTTTGTCTAAATATTCTCTAGAGAGGAAAAAGTTATATGCGCTTCCTTTCACTTCTAAAATAATACTCGATATATTCTAGTAAAGCCGATACTACAAGCCTGTTAATGTTATCGATTACAAATTTAGAATTGATATTGAGAACGCGTGTTAAAAATTCAGTCTCAAGTTGCGTGCAAAAAGTGAAGAATCGTTTGGCAATTTCTCAAGAATTGACATTCAGGATCGGCAGAGGTGAAACGATCAGAGACGGTGTCTCATCCGCGTAGCCACCATCCACTCGATACAAGGTGACGGGTGTCGTACGGTCCCCCCCTCGTGGGAGCAGTAATGATCACGTTCTATCGCACTCTTGCGACGCTAATCAGGCAAGATGTGGGAAATTTGTCGCATCGGCGCGCAGGTGCGGCCCGAAATAGTACTGTGCATCCGCTTCGTTAAGAAGGCGCCATCAGCCGCCATCGACGATCGACCGAGTTAACTTTAACTCACCGAGTGGGCAGCTCAAATCGAAAAGAAGAAGTACTCATCATCGCCATAGAGAAGAAGGATCCATCCGTTTACTTATGTCTTTTACCCGAACGAAGCTTTTCGAGCAAACTGAGATAAGATATCACGCGTTTCACGAATTCGAGGAGCATTCGTTTAACGAACGTTCCAGGCATCTGTTGCAACGCTTAAGGTCTATGTCGGACATTTGCAACGTTTAAGATATAATCCGAGCGTTTGCAACATTTAAGATTTGTTCCAGATATTTGTAATGATTGAAGTCTGTCTTAGATATTTGCTAACTTTAAGGTCCGTTTCAGGCATTTGTTACGTTTAAAGTCCGTTCTAGGATAATATTTAAGGTCTTTATTCAAATTTCGATATTCCTTGATGCACTTGCAGTTATACACGTGACCGATCGCTTCCGCTATGCACGACTATCCGACTACATACAAATCTATCCTAATAGACCTTTAATATATGTACGTATTCAGCTATAAATTTTGCCATGTTTATGTCATCATTCATCGGCCAACACAAGCCGCCATTCGACTACTCGAATACATAAACATGAGTGACAAAACTGTACGAAAGAACAATTTTGCCGAAGTATCTAAAAATTAAAACAGATACACACACAGATTAAAGAATAATTATTTTAATGATCCAACGAAATTATTTTCAAATCTGTATCTATGCCTAAATTTGAATTGACATAAATAATGAGCAATGCTACAAAAAGTTTTGACATCTGATCTGACAAAAGATTTTCAAATCTGTATCTAATTAAAATTCTAGATACTTTAACAAAACCGTTCTTTCCATGTGAAGCGCTGACCGAAGATGAGTAGGCAAGATGATAAACAATTTTTCAGAGAAAAGAAAGGAAATTAATATTACATATACTATGATTTAGAAAGAATCTTCTGAGACACTCTTTAAAAGATTGCTATGTTCAAGTTGCCAAATCTGGAATCTCTGCTTATTTCTTTAGCTGTATTTCTAGATACTCTTTTCCTTTCTCCTTAGGAAACAAACACGCTTTTACACCGTGTGTTTACAAACGTGAGAAGCGTAAGGGGAAAAGAAAAACCTGTCTCTCGCAAGTCTCTGTCGATGTCGGTCTTGCCTATATTTGATTCGAAAATCGCTGAAACATTAGATTGAAAGTAACAAATACAGGCGCGTGCGTTAAATCGCGTCTCTCTGAAAAGGAAAAAGGAAAGAGAAATCCCCTTACATTCTATACTAATTCTTCAGTAATCATATAATAATCTCGAGTACGGCGGGTATCGGTTTTCAATATACAGTATATTAGGTGATTACTTTAGGACTCTCTACATGCTTTTATTACTCGATTAGCTTTCGGAGCAGGTGGTCGTCCTATTTTTAACGATCCCGATCGATCAGCAGCGCGATAAGTTAACCAAAATTGCCTTGACTAAGATTATCACGCTTATGAAGAATCAGCTTTCGATGGTGCGAAGAATGTTGTGGTGACCATCCCTCGAATCTGGACGTTTCCTGCCAATTCGGCGATCGGGTCTTCGATCTGTATTTTTACATAACAGTTTTATCTAGTATAATATTAATTATGTGTCTACGTGACCACGTTCCCTTCTACGCAGTTCCTCAATTTATATAGAGAAAAATAGAAAATCTAGATGTAGCAAATGCATGCAGCGCGTTAATTAATATGTATCGCGCGATACGTTTTTTCCATACTGTGCAAGATTTTCTCGCAGAATAAATACATGCGATATGAAACAACGCAATGAAACTATCGTGACACTTTAGATTTTTACGCATTCAGTATAATATACGATATTATTTTGATACGGGATATATGTAGTATATATCGCTAATGGACGATTCCTTTTTATTGGCAGCGCATTCACTGCGCTTCGACAATCAAGTTTCGTTGTTAGAGAAAGATTACCCAAAAAGAGTAGAATAAAAAGGGACACATTGCTCTTTTGTATGGATACGGGATACAAAAGAAAGTATAACAGAATATGCTGTTATTCCAGCTGGTAAACGCGATCATATCTATATATATTATTAACGAAAAACATCAAACAGTTAAACTATTGGAAGATCTTGCAAGGAAAGCCGAATAATGATAATATGATCAACATTAGCTACACTGAGAAAAAAATATCTTAATTTCAAAGAAATATTTCTTTGCTCATATTCAAACAAATTATTATTTTGGATCAATGAAATTTCTTTGAAATTAAAATATGTTTTTTAAAGTAAAAAAATATCTTAAAATTTCAAAGAAATTTTCATTGATCCAAAGTAATAATTTGTTGAATACGAGCAAAGAAGTGTTTCTTTGAAATTAAGATTTTTTTTCTCAGTGTATATATAAGATTAGCTTCTTAAGTATATAAGCATTGTCTTCTAGATCGATTGATTATAGATTGATAATAATCCGTGCATTTCAAACTTATTTTTTTGTACATACACCTGAATTCGATCAGTGTTTACTCTATCCTCTTTTATTTCCTTGACAAAGCACACGCGAATAAAATTAATATCTTTAAAATATCTTTAATTTCTTACAAAAAATTGTTGTTCAGACACTAATTATTATATAACAAGAATTATTTCATGTGTAATTAAGAAATTATTCGCACGTAATTTAATATATATTCAAATATATAAATATATATATGATCTATCTATAGAGATTACCTCTTTATTCTCAAATTCAAATAAATTGTGAATAACTTGAAAGTTGATTTTTTTGCTTAATAAGCTTTCGAACATGATGTTATATCATTGCGGTCTGATTAACAGTTACGCGAATAAAATAAATATGTAAAATTCATATGTCGCTTCGAGCTCCATTATTTGTGAGCCTTATACTGTAGAAAATGTAACAAATTGCGGAGAATGCAAGAATAAATGAACTAATAAAAATTACTGTTATTTGCTCACCATGCTAGATAGAAAATGTACGGTAAACTCAATAATGTCATTCTCAGAATCATATACTTGAAGAATCATGATACTGTTATTCAATTTAAAAAACACCCATATTTCTTTTATTTTAATATTCATTTCGTCAATAATATATTCTCTTTATAACCTTACTTTCCAAGTTTTGATATAATCTCACATGTGTCTGTTTACTGTTCTCAATGTGTCTTAAAAAAGATTAATGAAAAGCATAATTACATATTTCAACCCGTTAATACAATATTTATTTTATTGCAGAAATCAAGTATAATTAACTCTCCTATTGTGGTTGCTATCCAAACATAATAGTTGAAGATAAGCTAATGCATAATCAAGATAACGAAGAAATTATCGTACGTGACTGTTGCACTAAGATTAGAAAATTTAGGAAGACAAACATTACTTTTCAAATTGCATACATTTGCATTGCTTTATCATCATCATATTATGACGTGTGTTATTTCAAAAAGAGGTTGTCGCAAATAGAAGATTATTTCACTCTACATTATAATTTGTTTTTTAATCGCCGTAAGAAATTATTGTGTCATGCGCTATTCTCATTTCTAATATCACATTGCATAGGCTTTAACATTCATTGCCGTTATATAAATGATTTGTTACGCGAATCGGGAATATCACACATATGCGACATGTACAGTAACGGATGTGTCACACTGTCAACTGAGACCTTTATCGTTCTGCATATGAAAACCCTCAGAACCTTTTTACATACAATAGTATGAGAATGGGTGCATTGCAGCTATAAATAAACATTATCTAAATTTTATAAATGGTATAATTTTAGATTATCTATTACTTTTTTTGTGCAATTTTATTTTATAAAACCAAAATATTTAAAAAATAATCTTTAAGATCGATTGATTTAGTTATTTGCAAGAGAGTTGTTACCATTCTAATTATTGCAATCACTAATGCGTATTAATGATTATCGATTCTGCAAAATTTAATAAATTAGCATTTTTCATCAAAAATATATCTGTAGTAGGTATAATTATTAATAGGAATAAATAAACTGTAGTACAATTGTTAATAGAAATAAATAATAAATGCACAGTAAACATTCGAAAATAATAAATTCCAAACAAAAAATAAATATGAAAATCGAATTGTCTCAAACAAGTTTGTAAACAGTTATTAGGATTTTATATATATCATAGATTGGATTTAAACTGACAATGCTAAGTATAATTTGCAGACATAAAAACAACTTTATTTAAAGCAGCCGACGCTAAAGCGATCAATACATTGTGTAGCAAGGTTTAACAATGGCTTTAGAAATATAACGCTTTATCTCTACCCTTTGTGAAGTTAACATCCCATTTCTAGGATTTCGATATAATTGATAGAGTTCTGACTCTCAAGCAATTCTGGAATTCCTGATACATCTCAAAAAAAGATCGAACGATTGAATGCAAAAAATAGTAGTGTGAAGATATGCCAACTTTACAAAAATTAATCTCCCACAAGAAAATATTACATTTTCAAAAAAAGTATATTATATATATATGTATCTCAAGTATATATAATATACTATACAAGATAAATAACTTCAATAAATCTTCAAATTTTCCTCAAAAAGATTCTTTTTGAAAATCTAATATTTTCTTGGAATTAATTCTAAAATATTGAAAAGTTATTCTTAACTTTCGGCGAAAGTGTGCAGATGATGTCCCATGGTTTTACATTCTTGTTCTTCATACATTAAAAAATGTTTTGAAACAATTGATAATGGAATCTAAATTTTCATTCGCGTAATATAATGATAAAATAAAAAAAAGCGCAATATCGTAAAGACATTTGGGACAAACAGTACATGCATATTCGCTTTTGGAGATTATAATAGCCCAATATAATCCTTCCTGAATAAAACAGCGACAACTTCAGAGATCTTTTTGTTTGAGTAACGCCGTAGTCGAGTAACGGCTTAAAGTTGCCTATCTTTACAGTGGCGTCCTAATGGTCCGCATTACGTCTTTAACGACCTATTTAATGATCGTAGAGATTCCTAACAAACGTTTTTACTGCCTACAACGTCTTTCTTTTTAGACGTTAAACATATATCTGGTACTAATATCTGTATACGTCCGCGCCATCCATTTGTTCGCGACGAAAGACTTGAAAACAATCGGAATCCGTTAGCGAACGTGCGTGGCGCTCGTTATATGTGAGGCGGACTCTTCTGATCGAACATTCCGACGTATATTCGAAAGAGAGTGCGAGAGTACAAGACAAGCACGGCTCGTTCCGCTCGCGTTACAACGAAGGTCCTTTACGCCTCTTTACCCGTCAGCGAGCTCTCACGCTTACCCCCCACCTCGTGACAATCCGACAACCCTCTTTGCCGCCACCGAGCGCCCGCGCGCCCCTTCAACCCCTTCCACATCGGCAACCTTATCCATGGTCTTTCAGCCATACTACCCCACCTCTCGCGATCAATGCTCGTGAAAAGGTGGGCGCGCGCGCTCGCGCCCTCTGCGTACCGTCGCCTCCCTCCAATCCTATATTTCCCTCTCACTCTCTCACCCTCCCACTTTTTCTGGCCTCTCTGTTTTTCCCGACGGATCGCGCTCCGTTTCTATCTCTCTCACGCTGTTGCACCGATTCGCGCGGCTGGCGCTAAAACGCCCGAGACTCGACCGAGGCGCTCGGAATGCAGCCCTCTGACCCGATTGAACGACAGCCAAGCCAAGCATCCCCGTGTTTCATCCGGTATCGGATCGCGGTGTCAATCGGAATCGCGATCTACGCCACGCTACGCTACAGGAAAATTCTAGGAACGAGTTACCGAGCCGTTACCGAGCGCGGTGTCGACTATCGATCGACTCGTGCACTCGAGAGCGCCCGCTTGAAATTTTAAAGACCAGCAACCCTCGCGAGGACCGTTTACTTTCTTTCCTGTTTTCCGGAAACAGGCCGGGTTACGACTAATTGACTAATTGACGGACCGCGAGAACGTAGAGTTTCGAATCTCGTAAACGACGGATATGGAAAGTCAAGTCTGCGGAATTGCGCAAGTATTAAACTGGAGGCGCGTTGCCTCAAAGTTGTGCGCATCCTCCGACGTAGGAAAGATCGGGAGATGCGTATTCTCATAGGGAGACGTGTCTAGAGAACTTTATCGTTTACTTTCTCTCCCTTTTCTCCTCTTGTCTTACATTTGTCTTCATTTACGTATATAGGAACAACAATATATACTGTTTCGTAAATTACAATCGTCGGTACTTTGCAAGCAACTGTTCGGGGAACTGTTATCTCCCTGGAGAACATAAAAATGCCTCCCCCCCTCTCTTTCTCTTTCTCTCTGTCTCTTCTCTCTTTTTCTCGCCAATCTATCATCGCTCCTGCGGTTGACATCGATTTTCCTCCGATAGTGTCGCGCGATAATCTTACCTTCGCAGATGTACCCCTGCTGTATGAGGCCCCAGAGCATGTCCGTGCAGCTATGGCAGTACGTCGGTTTGTGAAACATTTTTTTACTGAAGCTGTGCCCATGGCTGGCTGGAGTCTCGGCCGAGACCGACGCCATATTCCCCGTTCCACCGCGGAACCGTTCACGCCAGATTTTCACCGTGAAGCTACGCAGGGCGCGCCGCGCGACGATGACAACATAATTACACGCCCGACACTACGTGATCTCGGAACCGTACGCGTACATAACTGCGTTGCTGCGGTTGCTGCGATGGTGGTAGTAAGAGGAGTAGTAGTAATCGTCGCTGGCCGCACGCTGGCCCACTCGCACCGTCGTACCGTCGTCGTCTCGTACGGCGCCTCGTCGTAACGTCGTCGCGCCTAACACGCATTATTCCACGAGCTGCGCCACGGAACGACCGACGCGCCGGCAGCCACGATCGCGCGCGCCAGATGCGTCGTCGCCGTCGTCGTAAATCGCCACCAATCCGTCACCGATCGCCACCACTCCGATCTCACGGCCGCCGCCGAGCATCACCGTCGTCGTCGCTGCTGCCTCACCCTCGTACTCGTCGTCGCCGGGAGTCTCGTCGCTCTCGCTCGCCTCGTTCGCGATACGATGCGTTCGATGTCGCGTTCGCGCATCCGACGAGTCGCCTCTCTCGCTGCTTCTGCTGCTGCTGCTGCCAATACCGCTGTTGTTGCTGCTGTCGCTCTTGCCGTTGCCGTCGCCGATGCTGCTGTTGCTGCTTCTGCTTCTGCTGATCCGAGCGTACGCCGCTGTGTGGCTGCACTGACATCAGCCCCTTTTCGTCACCGCCACCAGCCAGTGGCGGATGCGCTGCCCTAGCGGACTAAGTGGGGCGTCATATGGGGGCCGAGCCGAGCCGAGCGAGCGGAATCCAAGCGAGATGCGAACCGCCCTCTTCCGAGCCCGTAGCCTCGAGGGCGCTCTCTCTCTCTCTCTCTCCTTTCTCCCTTTTCTCGATTTACTTTCAACGGATCCTTCCCATGTTCAACGATCTCTCCCTTCCGCGAAAGATTCGAGTCGACGGTATGTTTAAATCTCTACTCCACGTGGGGAACAAATGTCGTCCGAATGATCCGGAGCACCGGTCGGAGCGTACAGTCTAAAATGAAATTTCCGAACGGGGACGGAGACCTCGTTCTCCAGCACTGTGCGATGGCGACGAAAGCGCGTATCTCTTCGTTACTCCTCGGTTCCGTATAATCCAGGCTCGCACGTCTCTTCGCTACGCCGTGAGCTTTTGCCGTCTATTTCCGATCGGTCTCCCTCTCTCTTTCTCTCTCTCTCTCTCTTTTCTTCGCTCGAGAAGACTCGCGTTTCAATAACATCATGTTGAGTCGAAAATCAAATGTCCGTGACGTTTTACGTCACCTCGAACGGCGATGACGGCATCGATACGTCGCTCGCGGTACGGATTCAAAAAAATACCCTCGTTATACTCTTTATTGATTCTCGCTCCGAGACTGACTTAATTAAATACGGTCGCGTGATCGGTCTTCCCGATTAAACTTCGCAAACCGATAAGCATCCCTCTCTTTCCCATTAAGAAGGGAAACCGCCACCGACGATGCGAACCACGGCGCAACCACGACACCGTCTCGTCATCTCGTTCAAGTAACCGTCGCGTACGAATCGCGGTACGGATCGTACGAACTTTATAGCCGTTAACGCTTAACGCGGCCGTTAAGCAACGCGCGCGGAAATACGGTTCGGCACGGCTCGCTCGACGCGATCGCGATGATCGAGATCGACGACAGTACGACGACGGCGATGGCGTCGACGTCAGTGACGGTCGGTCGACGTCGTTTACCGCGACGCGCCGACGCGACGCGATTTCCTCCACCACGCGCGACGCGCCTCGTGTGACTCGTGTCACACATCCGCCGCGCGCGGCCCGTTCCCGTATGCCATTGTGGACTTCACCGCATCACCGCGTCACGAGTAATAGCACGAGAGATCTCGCGCGCCCCTTGCCGCCCCTTCTCGCTCACCTTCGCGATTCCTCGCGAAATCCACCTCGTTACCGATTTGCGGCCGCGTTCGTTATTCGAGTGAACGAGCCGCTCGCCGTACCGCGGATGCTCTTCTTCTCCTCCTCCTCCACCCCTCCGCGATTCTTCCCTGGGAGCGCGATCCGATCTCGGCGCGCGCGCGAATAAGGACGGCAAAAGGCAACAACGACTGAAAGCGGCACCGCGTTCCATTTAATCGCCGCTTCTCGATAATGAATACTGCCTATTATCGTCGCGACGCCCGTCGTCGCATTGTACGTCGCGCGCGCGCGCTCCACTCGCTCTCGCGTTCTCACGAAGTACACGCGTCCGGAGTACACGCGATTGCACACACACACACACACATACACACATACATACACACACACATCTATACACGCCTACAATGAGTCGCGTGAATCAGGGGAGTTGCGGACGCATCGCGTTGGATTTTTCAATAACGGAAGCACGAGGGGGTGGCACGCATTTTCACATTCCTGTCACGTTCCGTTGTATTCATTAAACCGTCTGCTGCACATGCCTACATTGACGGACATTATAAAGTTATATCTCGCCGCGCTTTCTCTCATTCTCTCTCTTTCTTTCTCTCTCTCTCGCTCTCTCTGTTTCTTTCTCCTTTCCTCTATTGTGCGATCAAACGTGAATGAAACGGGTTTAAATTTCAATACGGGAGAGAAGCACGCTAAATGCATCAACTGCTGTTATTGCAAACTACTGTTATAATCACGTACTTATATACGTCTATTCTAAATGGTGCCTTAGGAATATATCGTTAAATTCGATGACAGTTTCAGCGTTAAAGCGTGAATTTAAGAAAATACAGTGATCAGATTTTCCGAATTTTTCGCCTCTTAACTTTATTGCGTTTATGAGAATTTCGTAGAAAAACTACGCCTTCTTTTGTACAACATAAAACTGTGATGACACAATTGCATTATCCTTTAGCAATATATAGTTAAGCATAAAACTACGACCTCCGAAAAGTCTAAATAGTGTTTCGTTAATTATCTAATATTCAGAGACATACAAGAGACAATTAATAGATCGTCACTTAAGGAGGTTCTCGCGTTTGATGAAATATAATACAAGTCTATAATATACATGTAATACAAAAGTTAATATAATATCAATAATGTCTAGAAAAAATTCCATTGACTTTTATCGTACCATTTTGAAGACATTTAATTCTAAATTTATAGAATTTTACATTACAAGTTGAAGGTGTAACTTATTCTCTTTTAAATTGAGACATTTGCGTACGAGGCAGCAATTTAAAAATCATTATAATTATAAAGTAAACACTTAAGTTTGTTCTCTCTCTCTCGTAAAGTTTCATTTAAACTGGCCGTATAGTTTACAAGAAATTTATATTCTTCAATGAAAAAAGCTAGAATGTATGTCAAATGAACATCTTACAACTTTTATTTCGTCATTTTGAAAATATTTAGTAACATATAAAATTAACAATAATTATGTATAATGGCATAAGATATTGTTAGTAATCTTTTTATTCCATTATTTTAATCGTTTTACATATTATTATGAATAAACTGTCTATTTATATACTAGGAGCGCGAGAACCTCCTTAAAAATACACGCAGATATTAATACTCCGTGCTGATGTTATTTAAATGCGTTTATTTGGACATGTTCGAGGATGTTCATAAATATTAATCGCGGTCTTTTTGCTGATCATCGCTTTTCTAAGCATTTTTTAAATTTAATCCTTCGTCTACAATATTTCTACAATCTTTTTGACACAAGCGAGATTTCATCCTCAAATGGAGTGTTAAGATAACTTCGAAATTCGGTGCAATAATAACGTAGATAAACTGTCTACTTTTATGTACTTTATCTTTTGGACGGAGCATCATCTTTTCTTATTTAATTATCTGTCTATAATCCGAATTTTTTTTGACACAAGCAAAATTTCACTCCTAAATTTCTTCAAAATAAAGAACTGGAATTTCTCCTAAAATATCTTGTTAAAAAACTATTTGGTAATGCAATAGAGATGTCGAAAAGTAACCCTGAGTTTTCCCACGTTTTTTTGAAAGGCTAGAAAAGTAAAAAAACTTAGACTGGACAGAGGGAGTAAAAATATGATTACAGATGGAGAGTTAAGATAACTTCGAAATTCAGTACAGTAATAACGTAGATAAACTGTCTACTTTTATGTACTTTATTTTTTGGACGGAGCATAAAGCATCGTCTTTTGTCAATGCAACATTTGGTCTTAACGTAATACATATTTCATTCTTAACATCGATAGAAGCTACAGTTCACTTAATGTTACAAATACTTTGAAGCATTCTTTATTCGGACAATTAGTAAAATTTCTCCTTCTGATTGATCAATGAAACGCTTCGAAGCATTTGTAATGTTAAAAATGGACTACACCCAAAGTCTTATTCTACGGTCCGGTCAGTTATCGTCGAACATCAGTACCAGCAACAAAAAAGTAACTTATCAACTATTTTGATTTGTTTCTGACAAGATATGTATATTACGCTGCTTTTATAATTTGAAAGTTTCAACGGAATACAAAACGTGACATTTACGGACCGCATCTGAATGTCGCGGATCAATCGTATCGGTGTAAAAAGAGATTATACAAGGATTAAAATGTGTGTGTGTTATGTGTCTTGTTAATTGATTTAATAAACGTATGTCAAGACTCTTTGCTTAAGGTAAGTATATTTCGACGATCACAATAAAATATAAGTAGAATAAAAAATGGAATAAAAATTTTAAATGCGTTATAATGAAATGACATTGCGAAAATACGTAAATATAATCGAATTTAATCGAGCCGTAATAGACAGAGATGTACAATATATAAATTATAAATCTCGTCGCGCTCTCTTTTATAATATGTCGCGTAACAATATCATGCCTCTCTCTATTTTAGAAGTCTTATCAATTTTCAAGCGATGTTTATATGTAGTAAAAAGGCTTTAAACACAGAAAATCGAACCGAAAGGATATACAGGGTGTCACAAAAAGATCGGGACACTGAATTATCTCAAATAAATGGTTTTCGGGAAAAATTTTTCATATAAAAGTTGTAGAATACCCATTATGGCATGGCAA